TGGCTCGAAATAAACCCATCAAGCATAAAAATATTGCCTTCAAGGTTTGCGATCATTACTTTGAAATTATTTAAGATTAACTGATCTGGGTGATAATAACTTGTGCCTCACATATACACACATAATAGGAACTTTTGATTGAGGGATACGATAATAACAGATTGTTAGTAGCTATACCATTCGTGTGCAAAGTGCTTGAACAGGCAAATAGGAGCAAAGTCTTCAAGCCTCCAAATCCTTGGCTGATGGCAATACTCAAATTGTTGGTCGAGTTGCACCGATTAGAGGATTTAAAATTACAATTAAAATTCGAAGTTGAAGGTCTATGCAAAAGCTTGCAAATTGAAATGAAAGATATAGAACCGACCAAGATACTGAAGGATCGACCTTCTAAAGGATTGCCTCAAACTGCACCCGAATGGCCTCCAACTTATAACAATCCCCCTGCTAAAGAGCCACCGGGATCCCAAATTCCATCGATTCCCAACACCCATACGAATAGCGTATTGCCTACAAACGGTAAGTTAGATTAGATTATCTTATTTATTTTATCTTATTTGAGAAAAAACCGAGAGTTTACCGCCTCTGTGCCCCTTAATCTAAATTTAGGCGGCTTACTGGACGATGGCAATATGAGTTTTGATCAGTATATTACGATCAATCCCAATTTGCCCTCATTCTACAATCAACCTCTGATGAGAAGATTTGTTCATTTAGCGATTGATAAAGCGATTCGAGAGGTGAGTTCACGGAGTTCACAAATAATTAATTCTATTTGTTCAAGGAAATTTGACATTTGACATTTGGAACCTTAGATTATTACACCCGTAGTAGAACGATCTGTCACAATCGCTGGAATATCAACCCGTGAATTGATTGTTAAAGACTTTGCCATGGAGCCGAATGAGGAAAAAATGAGAAATGCAGCTCACTTGATGGTACAAAACCTCGCCGGGAGTTTAGCCCTGGTCACCTGCAAAGAACCACTTCGAATGAGCATGGTGACCAATCTAAAGAATTTTTTAATTCAAAACGGTTATAACGAAGTAAATTTCGAACCTATTTACATTATCTCGCGGTCGACATTCGTTCAGAAGCTTTTCAATTCTGATTTATATAAAATAACCTACAATTTATTCATCTCCTATTTTTTTTTTTCGTCCACCAGCAAAGTATTTCGGAGCAAGCCATTCTGATGATAGTCTCCGATAATCTGGAATTAGCGTGTTCGTTTATCGAAAAGGCTGCCATGGATAAAGCTTTACCCGAGATTGATGAGTCACTAGCGTCTTCCTTCAGCAATCGCAAAAAACATCGTGAGGTAAGAACTTTTCCACTTTCACATCTTGTTAATATTTTAGATCTTATTTTGAGAAACCATGCAG